TTATCCCATACCTTGAAGCAATTGTTTTAAGTTACTGTCTGGAAGAGACTAGGTAAAAGTTTACACTGATGTGGACCAGTTATGTCAGATGCCAAGATGTTTTCTCCTTAGATGAAAAAGGTTTAAAAATAAGCTCACAGGGAGAAAAAAAAATGACAATGAATATATGTATGTTCACGTATAACTGAAAAATTGTGCTCTACACTGGAATTTGACAACATTGTAAAATGACTATAAGTCAATAAAGAAATGTTAAGGGAAAAAAAAAGGTTTAAATAAAAAGCTGTTTTTGCCAGCAGTTAGCGCTCATGATCTACTGCCCAGGGATAAGCAATCCAGAGGTCCCGGAACTTGGGGCTCCCAGAGGGGAAAGAGAGGGGTTAACATGGGGCGTTGGTGGGATCCAGGAACATTTTCAAAATTGGAATTAATTTAAGCAGTTTTAAAATAAATAAGAACTGGACTAGTCTCTGTGTTACTAATGCAAAAAACAAAATACAAAACTCTCCCTGGGCAAAATGGGATATATACTGACACCCTACAAAACAGCTTTTCCGATTCATTCACGCAGAAGGGCAAACTGAACACACTGCTCAGTTTCACAATCTCAGGGACAGAATCTGGGATCTGAGACTGAAGGACTAACGCATCTGACAATTTAGGTCACTAACCATTGCCTTGAAAAAAGCAATGCAGTTCTTTAACTGCTATAAATGGCATTATTCTTTCTTTTGTCCAACGTGTTTTAGTTATTTCCTTTTTAAAACCAATTCTTTACGTAGTAGCATTTAAGAGTTGTTTACACAACTCTGTATACACTGACACACATCACTATGTAAGTTCCAGGTTTACAGCCTAATGGACTGATACCACAATGAATTTAGTTAGCATCCGTAATTTCATACTGATAAAGAGGGCAAAATAGGAGAAAACATTTTTTCTTTTGACGAGAACTGCATTATTCTTTAAAATACCTATTTGATGAATTACCTTCTGAATTTACATTGTGAATAAAAAATTCTTTAAAAAAAAACAAGGTAAAAGCATCTTAGAACAAAATACGCCTAAGCTAGAAACAGGAAAAATGATTAGAGACAAATGAAATGGAGAATAAAACTACAGAAAATGACAAAAGTACAAAATGCTTCTTTGAAAAGGACAAGAAAATTGACAATTCCTTATCTAGATTAACAAAAAAAGGGGAGAAGACTCAATTACCGAATAAGAAAAACATAACATTATAACAGATTACAACTAATTTTACAGAATTCTTTTTAATTTAGAAAAAATACCCAGATAATTCTATGGTTAAATATAGGATATAATCTAGAAGAAACAGATAAATTCCTATAGAAACAGAACCTACCAACACAGAATCACGAAGAAATTAAAAATCAGAACACGTTACTTGTAAGGAGACTGAATCACTATTCAGAAACCATTCAACAAAGGAGAACCAGAGAGCTTCATTGCAGAATTCTACGCAAGGTTTAAAAACAATATTAATTAATTAAAAAATAAAATAAATATAGGATAACCTAGGAAAAATGGATAACTTCCTATGGAAACAGAACCCACCATGAGAGAATCATGAAGAAATTAAAAGTCCAAAAAATCCTGTAACTTGTAAGGCGACTGAATCACTATTCAAAAACCACTCAACAAGGGAAAGCCAGAGACCTCCACTGCAGAAGTCTACCCAAAGTTTAAAAACAATTAAGACCAACCTTCCTTAAACTTGTCCCCAAACTACTGAACAAAAGGGAACAGTTCTCAACTACCTCTATGAACCCAGATTTATTCTAATACCAAAGTCAAAGACAGTACAAGAAAACCACAGGCTAAAAACTTCTAGTGAATAATGAGGCAAAAATCATCAATAAAATAGTAAACTAAAATCAACATCACGTTAAAAAGATTATAAACTTTGCCTAAGGAGAATATGTGAAATGCAAGGATGCTTCCACATGTGAAAATCCTTCAAAGTAAAACAACACACTAACAGAATGAAAGTAAAAACTTCCATGATCATCTCATGTGACACAGAGAAAGCATTCAACAAAAGACAATAGCCTTTCATGATAAAAAAAAAAAACAATAAAATATGAATAGAAAAAAACTAGCTCTAAACAATAGAGGATGTATGTCAACAGCCCACAGCTAACATCATACTCAATAGTAAAACACTGAAAGCCTTTCTTCTAAGACCAGGAACAAGACATGGATACTTTTTCTCACTATTTCTAAAAATTTATTACTAGAGTTCCTAGAAAAAAAAAGTAGTTCAGGAAAGAATGCATAGTCGGAGTCAGGGGGGTGGGGGTAAAGGTATTGCTCAAGCAGTAGAGCACATGCTTAGCATGCACAAGGTCCTGTATTAAATCCCCAGTACTGCCTCTAAAAATAAGTAAATAAATAAACCTGATTACCTCCCTTGCCAAGAAAAATCAAAATAAAAAGAAAAGAATGCATAGGCAGAAATAGATAAAAGGTACCCCAACAGAAAAAGAAAGCAAAATTATCTATTTACAACTTATACGATCTAATATGTAGAAAACTCTGAAGATTCTGGAAAAAAAATGCTAGAAATAATGAATAAATTTGAAAAAATTACAATATATAAAAGCAAAATGTAAGAATCAATTAGTTTCCTATATATTACAAATAATCCAAAAATTGAGAAAACAATTCCATTTTCAATAGCATCAATATAAAAAAATATTTAAGCATAATGTTATACAGGAAAGGAATTATGTGTCCACAGTAAACTAAAAACACTTGTGAAAAATGCTAGAAAAGGCACAAATACATGCAAAGATATCCCAATTTCATGAATTGGAAGGCAGTACTGTCAAGTTGTCAATATTAGCCAAAACAATCAACAGATTCACCCCAATCCCTAAAGAAATCCCAACCCCAATTTCTTGAAGAAATAAGTAAATCCATCATGTAACTGATAATAGATTCATATCTAGAATATATAAAGAACTATAAAAGGGACTGATCACCAATTCCATCATGGGGGCAGGTGGGGCCTTCCCCAATCAAGCATCTCACACTTTGCAAACATAAAAACAAAAACAACTAAGAGTAACATCCAAAACATAGACCTCATGGTAAAATAAACAAATATCAAGATAATTTATAATGCATAGAAATCTACAAAATGAAAACAGGAAATTTAAGTATCTTAAAACAGATTATGGTTCACCACTGAAACTATCTGTCATTCAGACACTTCAAAATTAGGTCTGGAGACAGAAGGAACAGGGGCACACACAGGCGATGAAAAATGTGGTGTCATTAATAATTTAGTCAACAGCCCTACAGATATGAGGATGAGAAGTTGGACCATGTTGTTCCTAGGAGAAATTCCTACACCATTTACTGAGGCTCAAAAGGGATGGTCATTAGTGTATGTAAGCAACACTGTCACAATGCCCTTGAGACAGGCTTTTGTGACATGCCTCAAAAACTGGAAAATAAAACTGGAAAGACTCACAGGTCAGTCTCTCATGATAGTTTGTTTCTCCAATCTTAGAACAAATGACCACTCTACCTAGTAGCTTCAGGGAGTGATTCTGTACACAGTAGGACAATATTACAACGGTGGGGAGGGGCCAGCTTAGTGGAGGGGGAGGGTAGAGCTCAGCTGGTGGAGCACACGCTCAGCATGCAGGAGGTCCTTAGTTCAGTCCCCAGTACCTCCTCCAAAAATAAATAAATAAATAAACAAACAAACAAACAAACCTAATTACCCCAAAAGTAAAATAAAAAATATATATACATATTACAACATATGACAGAAAGTACTCTCCATGAAACATTGTTACCCAGTAAACCCACCCCGTAGAGTCCACCAGAAGCTGTCCTTTAATTCATGTTGGATTATCACAGCAAAGAAACTGGGTAACATTTCAGACCCTATGAGTATGTTATTTCAAAAGCACGTTTCAGAGGGATAATCATGCAAATTTAGGAGAATATGAAATCAGGAAGAGTATACATTCCCTGACTAGGTAGACCAGTACTACAGGGGGAAAAAATGCATGATATGGAGGTCAGAGCTTATAGACTATCCACATGGAACCATGAACTCTACCCACAGGTGCCAAGCGCAGAGCATGAAGACATATATTCTCACCATGTGGGACTGGGGATGAGAAAGAAGATCTCTCTGTTGACTGTCCTGACAGTCTTTCTAAGTAACTCTCACAGAGGATCCAAAGGACTGGCTGAAGCAGAAAAAAGGCTGAGGGATGTAAACAAGCAGACAGAATCACGCAGATTCTGAGGTGCCAGATGGAATCAAAGAGCAGCCAGTGTGTTCTCATTCTGTGAGTAGGTCTTCCAAGAACATCCAGTGGGGAGGGAACTGGGCAAGGTCCGGGGACTGGAGTCCGGAGGCATCAGCTCTGATCAATATGGACTGAGAACAGAGCATCCAGTGGAATCCCACCCTGAAGGAGAGAGGAAGGGACAAAAGACTCCAAAGAAACAGCCTGCCTCACGCTCTTCAGAGTCAAAGAACGAGCTTGCAGGAGGCAGGTGACAGTGTTGAACATGGAACACTCTGCTTTTGTATCTTGGAGCTGCAGCACCATGGAGGGTGAAAGCACACATTTCACATGTTGAAGGGTAGAGGGATAGGTTGGGGAGAAATAAAACTGTTTGTGAGAGTTCACAATAAATAAACTTTGGATTTCCCAAAAAACTCTCCAGTGATCAGTTTCCCAAACCCTATTCATGGGGCTGCCTTTGAGATCTGACCTGCGATCACAATTTGCACACATTCCCAACAATTAGATATTTTTTGCTATTTTCACATCATTCTTCTCAGTCCTGGGCTCTTCTCCTTGCTCCAAAATGCAAATATTTGTATCAGAAACAGAAATTCCCACTTATCAGAAGACATAAACGTCAAGTGCAGTCACTTTTCAGAATCCCAGCTCTTTCCTCAGCTGAAGAGTGAGGACATTACAAGTGGGTCTGCAAAAATATTTAGCAAACTCGTCCTCCACAAGCCTCCTTCTGAATGCACGGGAACAAGTGCAATACGCAGACACCAGGCTCTCTTAGTAGAAATGCTGAGTCACAAGCACATGGCGGGAGGAGAGGGGAGAGCTCAGCGGTGGAGCGCATGCTGAGCACACAGAAGGTCCTGGGTTCAATCCCCTGTAGCCCCTCTAAAACAAGTAAACGTAATCTCCACCCCCCAAAAATAATTTTTAAAAACGCACAAGGGTAGAAAACAGGAAAATGGATATATGAGGAGTTTGCCACTGAGGTTTATAAACTATGTAAGCTATGGAAAAACACCTGATGTATCACGAAGTGGGCAGAGCCTTAGAGGAAAAGGTATGTTTAAACTCCTGATGCCACATCATGAAGCTGTTCATGTCTGAGTCACCGGGGACTGCAGATCAGTCAAGCGAATCACGGGCTCCCAAGAGGCACAGAGGGAAAATGTAAAGACACCCAAGGGCAGATCCCAACTCCCAGAGGGACGTTCTCCTCACCCAGGGGCAGCAGGTTCCTGCAGGTCTCCGACATCATATCCCTGTACAAGGCCCTCTGAGCAGTATCCAGGCACTCCCACTCCTCCGGAGCGAACTCTCTGGCCACATCCTCAAATGCCAAACTTCCCTGAAATGAAAACACATTTCACCAAGGGGCCATGAGGAAAGCTCTTATTTGCACACAAAATGAGGAAGAGGAGAGAGGGGTAAGGATCAATTCAGTTGCTGTAAGTATTCTGATACTTCCATGGAAAAGGATTTAGAGTAAATCATGGATCTCCAATTTTAAATTCTTGTGCTTTTCCACTGAGATTATGATACCCTTGAATCAATGTGGATTTTTCATTTTTGTGGACAATACATGATATACATATATATAAAACTCAACAAAATAAGCTCATACTGCATAGCACAGGGAACTCTATTCAGGATCTTGGAGTAACCTATGGTGAAAAAGAGTATGAAAACAAATGTATGTCCAGATATGACTGAAGCATTATGCTGTACACCAGAAACTGACGCATTGTAAACTGACTATACTTCAAAATACATATATACAAAAGAAAACGTCGACAGCTGTTTGTCTATGCAGGAGTGTTAGATACTCTGTTCTACGCACTGAGTGATATTCAGTATCTAGATGAGCTACGGTCTGAGTGGTGTCTCCCAAGATGACAAAGTCCACAGAGGTTTTATGGAGAGGTCAAAAACTTCAATTATAATCATGCTAACAACAGCAGTGACTAAAGGTGTTTGAGCAACTCCTATGTGCTAAGCATTACTCCAAACGCTTTATATGTACTAACTTGTAATCAACATAGTATCTCATTAGAAGGGGGAAGGGTACATACAGCTCAGCGGTAGATCACATGCTTAGCATGCACAAGGTCCTGGGTTCAATCCCCAGAACCTCCATAAAAAAAAGTTAAATAAATTTTTAAAAATAAAAAAATTAATAAATAAACCTAATTACCACCCAACTCAAAAAAAAGTTTTAATTAAAAATTAAAAAAAATTCTCA